CATTAACTTTCCTTATATATCTTTCTTTTTAAGGAGGAAAGATTGATTCCAGTAAAGTGGATACAGTTTTGGGTAACATGGGCATGGATCTCACTGAAAAGGAGCTTCAAGATCTTACTCAAAACCTGCCAGTTGATGGTGAGAAATTTAGATATTACGGTAGCCTGCAGAAAACTAGCTGTGTAAGCCTTCTCATAACAGTCATTAAAAATTCTTGTTTGGCATCAGAAAGGAGCCTGAGGGCCAATAGGTGGCATGTTGGTTAAGGCACTGGGTCCTACATGGCCAACTCCATGGTCAAGTCCTGGACCTGACAGATGGAAAATCATGCTGGGCATTGAGTATGTATGCCCCAAACCCCTAGAGGACAGTGGAGAAAGGATATGGTGTGACCATCCTGCATGGGGAGTGATTTCTCATTTCCCCCCTCTCTGTCTGTCTCTCTCCATGCAGCATACATGCACTATGGCAAATATCTAAAGTAAATAAATAAATAAAAGGGAGCCTGAACATTTCTGCTCTCGTGTCTTAGTCCTTCTTGTCCTTTAGGAGCCATAGGAGCCAAAAACAGTCTCAGGCTGACCTTTATTGACCTATAACAGTGTTTTCAGGGTTATAAATGTCAGCCTCTTCCCAAGATCTGTTGCTTCCCAGTTCTCTTCTCATGCTCTGACACTTCTCTGATGCTTTCCTAGTCCATGACATAGACCCAGCTCATTCTTTCTTGGGTGACACATCAGAGCCCAAGGCTCCTCATATCCCTACCAGTCAGTAGAGACTAGCAACATTTGACTCTCAAAAGGCAAACATATGTTCAGGTCTCCATGTTTACAGAGTCCTTCCAAAATTTGTATTTAAATGAATATAAAAGAATGACATCATAAATTTTAAAAACATGCCTTGTCACACAGAACATTTTAATTCCTCTTAATATATTCCTCTTCAATTGTGATAAATTTAGGATATTTTAGTAGAAGAGAATTCCTAAGGGCCTGATCCTTGGTAGAAATGTCCTGTTAAATGGCCTGTGGCAGAAAGCCTTTTTATCTTGGATCAGAATTTTCCCAATTATAAACCAGTCAGGCAAACAAAATGATGAAAGGGTTAAGTCTGTCATCACCATAGCAACTCATATACAAAGCCAGAATGAAAAATAGTAATCCCCTTCAAAGATCTCATCTTTTTAAATGATGGACATGGTTACCTATAAGAGTGCAATTGAACCAAAATATAGTTTCCATGTTGTGCTGACATGTAGCCAGTGTTGATGCAGAAATTATTAGTGGCAAGAATACATTAATAGAAAAAATTTTTCACCAAAGTTAGCAAGACTTGACAATCGATGTGTGTTTTTTTTGTTGTTGTTGGTTTTTTTTTTTTTGGCCATTTGACTGGCACTTTGTGTGTAATCAAAAGGAAAGCTTTTGAATTCACAAAGTAACTACGCTTTTATTCTGTTATGACTCTCAGCTTATAGCTAGGTCTTTTTTTCTATATGGAACATTATTTTGCTGCTAGGGAAAAAATACTTTTCAGAAACTGAATGACAACGTTTAGTCATTTTTCTGATCTAAAAAATAATGTATATTTTGGTACCAGCAGTTAGTGTAATAGCTATGTCACTGGACTCCCATGTAGTCAACTGTGGTTCAAGTCCTGGACCCAGTGGCTTAAATTCACACCTGGCACGTGTGCATGTGTGTCCAAGATCCCAAGAGGAGAATGGAAGAGGACGGATTTTGGTGTAGCCATCCCCCAGGGGAGTGATTCTCGCTTTCTGTCTCTCTGTCTCTCTCTGTCTTTCTGGTGAGCACATGTGCCCTATAGCAAAAAACCTCTCAAAAAAAAAAAAAGTATATTCATTATATTCAAAAAATAATTATGTTTATTATTATTTGAGCGTTCATTTTTACTTTCTTGTCTTCTTATGAAGAATATAGCAAAGGGTTAAATTTTCTAGAATAAATAAATACAAAATTATTCTGATCTGTGCGATATGTTCATAATCTCATTTTCATGCTTCTACCTATTTTATTTCTTGTCTTACAGCTAATGATAAGGTTGATCTGAAAAGGGTGATGAATGAAGTGAAATATTTCACAGGTAAGTAACACATAGCTAAAACATTTTTACTTGAATCCTAACTCTAGTATTTTGCATGGTATTTTCCCAGCATTACATCTTAGATATGTTAATGCTGATATTTTACATATCTATAGTGAAATATTTGCATCAAACTTTTCTTATGCCTGTGAGTTATTTAGAATTAAGCCATAAAAACTAGTGATGATATTTTAATAATAAATTATATTGTCTGTAGTTTCTGGCAGTAATATGCTGACCTTAACCAGTGTTTTAATCAGAGTCACAGTGGGCCACCCTGAGTTGCATCCAAACTGCAATTCGTTCTGTAAGGTCTGACAGCACTGGTTCTTACAGTCATGGTTGCTATTTTTTCTCTTTGGACAAGACATGTGCTCTCCATTTCAACAAGCCAATTTTACTCATTTTCTCTGCCTCCAATCTCTTGTAAGCTTTTGGGTCAATAACTTCTGGTTTAAAGAGTGAAAATCTAGGCAGCCACAGCAAATAGGAAGGTGAATATTTTTAAAGGATTAAGTTGGTAGAGTTGTTTTAAATAATAGTCACATTATTCAGCATTAAAAAGAAAGAAAACTACATAAACCTAAATTATTGGCCAGTTACACAATCTCATTCTTTTCAGCGCTAAAATGTCTTGCCACAAGGTTTAGGAGACCATGCTTGCTTTTTATGAAGAATTAAGAAATAAATTCTGTCTTACTCATTCTTAAACACTATCAGAATATGAGAAAATATGAAAGTAAGGGTGAAATTATGTGAACCAGTTTTTTTCATTATTTCAGATTATTATAATGTCCTAAAATTTCCATGTGTCAACAACTCTTTATTTCTTTCCAAGGAGAAAAAGTTGATATGAACAAAATTAAAAGTGCTTTGGAAGACTTGGGGATTGAATTCACCCCTAATGAGTACTTGAACTTATTAGAGACACTGCCAGTTAGTGGTAAGTCCTATGGATGATATCTGCACTTTTTAGGGAGTCTGATTTGGTAGCTATGTGAAAAATTCCAAAATAAACTAAAAGTGCCTCAAAACAGTTGAAAGCTAATGCTAATACAAAGAAAAGATTTCATTTAGCTTTTGATTTGAAAGTCAGCAAACTTTTCTGCTATAAGTTGCTATCAAAATTAAAGTACTTAACACCCTCAGGTTCTAATCAGCTGAATTTGTAAAAACATTAAGAATAAATAGCCTTTTGGCCGGAAGCTCCATCTTCCAGTAATTAACCAAACTGAAGAACACGAGGCACCCGATATATGTTCTCTAGGCCTTTTAGAAAACATGGAGTTGTTCCTTTGGCAACATATATGCGAATCTACAAGAAAGGTGATATTGTAGACATTAAGGGAATGAGTACTGTTCAAAAAGGAATGCCCCACAAATGTTACCATGGCAAAACTGGAAGAGTCTACAATGTTACCCAGCATGCTGTTGGCATTGTTGTGAACAAACAAATTAAGGGCAAGATTCTTGCCAAGAGAATCAATGTGTGTATTGAGCATATTAAACATTCTAAGAGCAGAGATAGCTTCCTAAAACGTGTGAAGGAAAATGACCAGAAAAAGAAAGAAGCCAAAGAGAAAGGTACCTGGGTTCAACTAAAGCACCAGCCTGCTCCACCCAGAGAAGCACACTTTGTGAGAACCAATGGAAAGGAGCCCGAGCTACTGGAACCTATTCCCTATGAATTCATGGCATGATGGGTGTTAAAAATAAACTAATCTGTGGTCTATTAAAAAAAAAAAGAATAAATAAAAGGTGCAAGAAAGTAGAGAGGGAGAAGGAGAAAACCAGGAGTAGAGAGATAATAAAAGAAAATTAATAATATATTTATATATATTTCTGCAGAATAGAATACAGTTTACCAACAAGCTGATAATTTTGTACATTGAGAAAAGACTACATTTTTTAGGGGCCAGCAGGTGGTGTTCTGGTTAAGGTACTAGACTCCCACATGGTCAACTCTGGTTCACATCCCAGACCTGGCAGCTTGCTTTGTCACTTTCTCTCTCTCTTGCTCTCTTTGTCTCTCTCTGGTCAAATGTAAAAAATAAATTTTAAAACAAATAAATTAATTTTAAAAATAATAGATTGCATTAAATTAAATCATTCTTTTAAAAATATTACATTTTTAAACTTCATTATTAGGTGAAATAAAACCCTAAAAAATTTAGGAAAATAAAAAATGCTTTTAATTTTAAAACTCAAAGATAACTACTGTTTATATATTAGTGCATTTTCTTTTAGCGCTTTTAAGATAGATGATAAGGGCCAGCAAGTGATGTGGTAGGTAGTATGTTGAACCCTCACCTGACTGACCACAGTCTGAGTCCCACACCTGTCGGCTTGCTTTCTCTCTTTCTCTCTCTCTTTCTCTCTCCCTTTCATGAGTGCATGAGCCCTGTAGCAAACTAAAAAATAATAATGATAAATAAAATTAAATAATTCTTTAAATAAAGATAGATGAGGACTAGATAAAAGATAAATATATACAGATAGACATATACATAATATTTATGTATATATTATTTATTTGTAACTCTTATTTATTCACAATGCTAATGTGTGTATATACCATAGAAGATCTTGTAATGAAGATAAGCAATAACACCACCATCTTTATTTCTACCTCAAATCAATAACTATCAAAAATCTTAAGATGTATGTCTCAACTCCTCTCTAGCTTCATGTCCTTTTTATTTGGCAACTTGTGGATAAATCTTTGTAAACCTCCTAAAATTTCTCAAGGTTAAACTTTTAAGTAAATTTGCAAAGTAAAAGACTTTGTTTTTTTAATTTTGTGAAATTTTCCTTCCAAGAAAGTTACTGTGATTTGAACTCCCATGAAGAGCAGGGGAGAATATTATTTTCTCTATATTCCCAATACATAAAGGAGGTGGGGGGACTCATTGTTATGATTTGCATTTCACTCATGTACCCTCAGAGTGAACATTTTGGTCTGTCTGTTATCTATTTGCATTTGAAATGTTCTTTAGCAAGGAGTTTTAAATTCTTTGTCTCTGAAATTAAGAGATACATACCATCTTTTGACTTTATTTCCAAAATGTCTTATTATTTTATAGCTGATGGAAAAGTGTATCAGAAAAGGTTGATGAAGGGTATAAAGTTCCTCAAACGTGAGTAAGAACCACAATGGGAAGCTTAGTCCTAAACCTTTATTTATACTCTAAAAATACGGATCCTTTCTTCTTATACAACTGAGTCCTTATTTATAATTCTTTGAGTAACTCAGCAGTTTTCCAATTAGTCTCTTGTTCTATGTGGCAGAAAGTGTTAAGCATTTTTGGATTTTCTTCACTCAGCTGCAAAGAAACAAACAAAAAATTTTAATGCAAAGTAAAAATGATGAGTAAAGACTGTTAAATAAGAGTTCAGTTAAAAGCAAAGATAATATGCAAGAACAGGCAACAAAAATCACTCCTGTTTTGCAGAATATTATATTAGTCATTTTCAGCTCTATCTTTTCAACCTTCTTTAAGAATATTTTTCTCTGGGACCAGCAGGTAGTGTGGTGGTTATAGGTGCTGGACTCCCATATGGCCAACCATGGTTTGAGTCCCAGACCTGAGAGAATTACTTTAAAATTTTATCCTTCTATTAACTGGAAAAGATTGAAGTTTTTGGTGTTGTCTTGAAATCTTAACAATAATACTAAGAAATTGATTATTTTAAGAAATTGTAATAAAACACATGCTCAATGAAGAATAAAAAGAATAGCATGAATAATATACTTCAATTTTATCATCATTTTGTTTTACTTTTTTCTTCTCCTGTCCCTTTCTTAGGAGGTAGTGTTAATATGAAAAAGCTGGACACTCTTTTAGAAAACATGGGGATCAAAATCACAGAAAAAGAATTCATGGATCTAACAGAAAGACTGCCAGACAATGGTGAGTACATTAATCATCCCTATGCCTTTTAAGGGGTACTCATTCTTTCAGACTTGACAATAAGAATATCTCTAAACAGATTGTTAAAAAGTTTAGAGAAGAGCATAATAGTAAAGTGATCTTTTAAATAGATATCCTTTCCCTTTATTTCCATTCATCTAAAATCCAATGTCTCCCCCTATGTATATGATACATTACATAAAATAAAACTAATATCAACACTTTGTTAAGCTAGAGCATGATCAAGAAATAGAATTAAAAATGGAAGGGAAGGGTTTACAGAGAAGGGAGATGACCTCACATCTACCCCTCCCGAAGTATGTGGTCCCTGCATTCACTACTCTGCTAGAAGACATTCCTACTCAGCCAACTGTGACATCAGCCTAGACAAATCCAATGTACATCACTCCTCTTTTTCTTAACCGAGTCTTTAACAATATTATTCTTTTTTCTTTTATTGCAATGCTATATTCTCAGCTGCTATAGATTCATACTTTCTAGAATTATCTTCTCTGCCTTTCTTAAGTCTCAATTTTTTTGGACTGCTCTTTCTCCTTTCAAACTAGTGTGTTAAGTGACCATTTTTTAATGGAATAATATAGAATGGAATAGAAAATATCAGACCATATACCACACAGTAAGGTTAAGTATTGTTTTATTAAACCTCAGAGTCAATTGTGGCAGGGGGGTGTGGTGTGGAATGTTCAGAGTTCAAAATTTTTAAATGTGACTTATAATCAAAAATTGTTAAAAACACTGGCTTAAGTAATAGTAATATAATAGGTATATTAGGTTGTCAGTATTGTCTATTGTTCTTTCCACAACCCCACTTTTCCTGTATAATTTCTTTTACCTGTATATGTTTAAGATTTCAAATCTTTTTATCTCAAATCTAGACTTACCTCATGAGTTTTAGTCTAGAACAGTAAAGTCTTTTTATATAGCATGACTGGGGCAAATACTTGGAAAGATAATTTCAAAATCCAGTTAAAGTAAGGAATCATAAAAATGATAAATACATACCATAAACACTTTGCTCAAGTGAAAAGAAATAGGGCTAAGGCTATTTTCATTTAATGTAGGCAAACTCTTTGGAAAGTTTCTTGGATAAACACTCATTTATCATCTATACTCCCATTCCCAATTTAAAAAAAAAAAAACAAAGGTGCAAAGAGCTTTTTTTTTTTAAGGTTTTGCCATAGGGTGCATGCACTTGCCAGAGACAAAGAAGTGAGAGGGAAAGTGAGAAATCATCCCCTGAGGGTGGGGATGGTCATGCTGCAGTCCGTTCTCTTCCATTCTCTTGGGTCCTTGGGCATGCATGCACTCACACCTAGCATGATTTTCAAGCTGCTGGGTCCGGAATTCTAACTGGGAGCTGAAACAGGAAGACCACAAACTCAAGGCTGGCCTGGACAAAATCATGAGACCTATCAGAGCTGGGAATAGTGGCATGTGTCTGCTGTCCCAGTGGGAAAGCTGAGTCAAGGGGATTGTGACACACCAAAAATATATATATATATTTTTGAGAGTTTTTTTGCTATAGGGCGCGTGCGCTTGCCAGACAGACAGAGACAGAGAGACAGAAAGCGAGAAATCCCCAGGGGGGATGGCCACGCCGCAATCCCTTCTCCTCCATTCTCCTCTCGGGATCTTGGGCATGCACGCACACGCGCCTGGCGTGAGTTTTAAGCCACCGGGTCTGGGACGCGAACCGTGGTCAACTACATGGGAGTCCAACGACATAGCCATTACGCTAACTGCTGGTTCCCAAAAAATAATTAAAAAAAAAAAAAAGTACAAGATACAGTGAATAGCATTTATCCAGTTTCTGTTTTATAATTTAAGTACTAAATCTTTTTTTCTGAGTTTGCCTTTATCAATGTCAATTGATATATCAATTTTTCCTTGTCTTATATCTACAGGGAAAGTCAAACTAACTAAGCTGATGGAAGAATTGGATGGTGTCTTAGGTAAGTGAGAAGTTACTTAATTCTTTACACTGTTTTAATGATATTTTCTATCACCACTTTATTCTCTTGTTAACTTTATCACCTTATATTTCATTAAACATTTCATCTACCTGCTTTGGATCACCTCTGCATTTTGCAATAGAGGTTCTTGGTCTTTACATAAGACATAGGCTATTTCAAAGTTTCAGTAATAACTGCAGACATTAGACTCACACTATTCTTTCCTATTTTTCTCCTACATTACGAATAGGTGATTTTATTATAAATAAGAGACAGTGTTATATTTCTAAGTCTGGTACTTACTCTGCATAATAAAGCATGTGTCCTCATGTCTTTGTTGCTTGTCTAACTATGGAAGATGTTGCAACACAAGAATGTTTTGTTTCTTTCCTATTTTGGAAATAATAGCTATGATAACAGATTTTTCTTAATATTGGGTTGTTAGAAAAGTGATGATTATATTTCTCTGTTTTTCTATGCAGAAATGCATCATGACTTTTCCATGACCCAATAGTATGAAGATGTCTTTAGACCTAATTCTACCTTTTGCTTTTCCCTCAATCAGTCACAGAAAAGATTATCAGGAATTGTCCAGATCTTTCATTGTCTTTACTGTTTATTCATTTCAGTATAAATCAGTATGATTTCATCCTACTGTTGGCTTTGGATCATTTGTTGAATTATTTGTTGGTATAGTGGCTGCATAGATGTAATCAGGACTCTAAAAAATCCAAAACAGCTGAAATAAAGAACATTCACTGAAAATGACATAAGAAGGGACAGGAAAGTATCCTGTAATCATGCCCAATGCCTCAGGCCTGAATGAAGGCTAGCACAAATAAAACCTTAAATCTACCTTCTCCAACAGTTATTATTGTTTTGTGTTATGCACATTTCAAAATCATTCCACTGTTTATTTAAAGTTGTATACATTGACAAAACAACATTGGTGAAAGTTTTTATTATGGCCAGCAGATGATGTGGTGGATACCACATGACTTGACTCAGTTCCAGTCCTGGACCCAGCAGTTTGAAAAACACACAGGGCACGGGCGTCTGCATGCCTAAAATCCTAAGAGGGGAATGGAAAAGGAATTGCAGCATAGCCATCCTTCCTGGGGTATAATTTCTCACTTTCTGTCTGTCTCTAGCAAGCATATGTGCCCTATAGTAAAACCTTTAAAAAAAAAAAAATATGTTGAATGTTGTCAGATGCCTTTGTTGCATCTATTGAGATGGTCATGTGGTGGTTTTTGTCCTTATTTCATTAATAAACTGTGTCACATTTATTGATTCGCATATGTTGAACTATCCTTGTATCTAAGGACGCAAGTCTCACTTGATTACATTAAGTAATCATTTTAATGTGCTGTTGAATTTAGTTTGCTTGCATTTTGTTGATGATTTTTGCCTCTGTGTTCATAAAAGATATATTGGCCTATAGTTTTCTTTTCTTGTACTGTCTTTATCTGGATTTGTTGTCAGGGTAATGCTGGCTGGTCTTATTTTTGAAACATACTATGTACCAAGCATTTGCTTTCTACAGTTTTATATACATTGTATATATTACTTAATAATTAAATAGTTAAAATAAAGCAAGTATAAGGTATACCGTGTTCTTTCTATTGAAGATGAAATTTATGTGTTTCACATTGTACTGCTTCTAACACAATGATGATTTCAAAACTATTGGGAAAAAAAATCACTTTTTTTTTTTTTTTTGCTATAGGCCATGTGTGCTTGCTGGAGAGACAGAGAGACAGAAAACAAGAAATCATCACTCTACCCCACCCCTGCCAGGGGGATGACCATGTTGCAATCCCTTCTCCATTCTCCTCTCAGAGTTTTGGACATACACACACATATGTTCTTGGTGCGAGTTTTAAGTTGCCAGGTCTGGAACTCAAACCATGGTTGACTACGTGGAAGTTCAGTGGCTTACCATTACACTATCTGTTGATCCCAAATCATTAAGTTTCTATTTTGTAAATAAAGGAACCACTGGGGACAACAGGTGGCATGGTGGTTAAGATACTGGACTCCTATGGCCAACTGCGATTCAAGTCCCAGACCTGGAAGTTTGCTTTCTCACTTTCCCTGTCTCTCTGTCTCTCTCTCTCTCTCGTGAGTGCATGTGCTCTATAGCAAATTTTTAAATAATAATAAATAGGGACCAGCAGATTGTGTAATGGCTATGTCACTGGACTCCCATGTAGTCGACCGCAGTTGGAGTCCTGGACACAGTGGCTTAAACTCATACCAGGCCCATGTGCATGCATGCCCAAGATCCCAAGAGGAGAATGGAGAAGAAATTGAGGTGTGGCCATCCCCCTAGGGGGTGATTTTTTGTTTTCTGTCTCTCTGTCTCTTTCTGGTGAGCACATGCCCCCTATAGAAAAATAAAACCTCTCCAAAATAATAATAATAAAAATAATTTTAATAAAATTAAATTAATAATTCTTTTTAAGAAATGAAGGAATCAAATTATTATATGTTTTATTTTTAGTCATTTACATAATTAATCACGGTAATTATTAATTTCAACTTTTTGTTTGTTGTACAACACATGATTTTTTAAAGAATTATTTTTTTAATTTATTTTTATTCATTGTCATTATTTTATTTTATTTTTTTGAAGTTAACCAGAGAGAGACAGAAAGAGAGAAGGAAAGTGAGAGAGCAAGCTGCTGGGTCTAGGACTCGAACCACGGTTAGCCATGTGGGCTTAATCACCATGCCACCTGCCAGCCCCACAACACATGATTTTTAAGTATGCATGATATTTATTATCTTGATGAATATATGAGTGAAAATATTGCTAGTTAGTATTTGATTATAGAAATCACTGATTTTTGTCTACTTCTCTAATTCCTTATTGTCACCATTTCTGTTTTTTTCCCCTAGGAGAACAGATAGATGTCAATGACCTAGAAAATGTTTTGAAAGACATGAAAGTAGAGGTCACAGATAAGGAATATATGCATTTAGTAAAAACTCTACCACTTGATGGTAAGGATTTAAAACATATACATATCCTTCAAAGAGCTTTAGAGTTCTTAGATGTGATATTTTTCTTCTAAAATAATATGAAACTGGTACCAGTTTTTTTGTTTGTTTGTTTTGGTTTGGTTTATTTTGGTTTGGTTTGTCTGGTTTTGTTTGTTTGTTTGTTTGTTTATGCAAGAGGGAGTGTGTCCATGAGAGAGAGAGAGAGAGCGCGCAAGAAAGCACATTGCCAACAGAGCCTGGTTATGCTGTTCTTTATACCAGCTTTTTTGTAAAAAAAATTTTAATTTTTATTAGAGGGCACATGCATTCACCAAAGAGAGAAAATGAGAAGGAACGTGAGAAATCACTCCCTAGGGAGGACAGCCATATCACAATCCTTTCTCCTTCATTCTCCTCTTGGGATTTTAGACACACATACACACACGCCTGGCATGATTTTCAGGCCACCAGGTCCAAGACATGAATCACAGTCAGCCATATGGGAGTCCAGCACCTTAACCACAACACCATCTGAAGGACCCAAAAATAATTTTTAAAAATCTTATAAAGTTAATAGATTTTTTCCACATCAAATCTGAGTCATTAATTTTTATTTACAAATAGCTATTTTACTCATTTCTGCCAATAAGACATGTGTATTGTTGTCCTTGATTGTATTAATATGTGTGAAAGTATGCAGAATGGTGTAAAAATGGAATAGCAAAGAGTGTAAAGAAACAAGTCAAAGAAAAAAGTAAGGGACCAGCAGATGGCGTTACGGTTACATCACTGGACTCCAGTGTAGTTGACCACGGTTTGAGTCCTGAACCTACCGTCTTAAACCTCACACTGGGCATGTGAGCTTGCATGCCCAAGATCCCAAGAGGAGAATGGAGGAAAATGGATTGCAGCATAGTCTATCCCCCCTGGGAGGGTGATTTCTTACTTTATGTCTCTCTGTCTCTGTCTCTCTGGAGAACACACACAAACACAAACACACACACACACACACACACACACAAGTAAAAATCTCTCCTAAAAGTAAGTTAATGGAGTATATGCAGCATAATTTTGTTTTTCTTTTTTCCAAAGAGGTTTTTGCTGTAGTGCGCGTGTGCTCACCAGACAGACAGAGAGAGACAGAGAGACAGAAAGCAAGAAATCACCACCCACAGGGGATGGCCACGCCACAATCCCTTCTCCTCCATTCTCCTCCCAGGATCTTGGGCACGCGCCCGGCATGAGTTTAAACCACCAGGTCCGGTACTCGAACTGCAGTCCACTACATGGGAGTTCAGCAACATAGACATTACGCTAACTGCTGGTCCTTATGTTGCATAATTTTTAAGCCAATAATCTTTGCATTTTGTGCAAAAGTGAACTAATTTGTCTCATTAAAATCTTTCTTCAAACTTTATTTACTTGAGAAAAAATTAGGCAAATTTCAGAGAAAAATAATTAAAAAGTCTATCTTCTTGAAATTATGGGATTAGGAGACAAGTTGTAAACTTTTTTTTTTTTGGAGAGGTTTTTGCTATAGGGTGCGTGTGCTCGCCAGACAGACAGAGAGAGACAGAGAGATAGAAAGCGAGAAATCGCCCCCCAGGGAGGATGGCCATGCCGCAATCCCTTCTCCTCCATTCTCCTCTCAGTATCTTGGGCGCGCACGCACACATGCCTGGCGTGAGTTTAAGCCATCAGGTCCGGGACTCAAACTGCGATCAACTACGTGGGAGTCCAGTGACATAGCCATTACACTAACTGCTGGTCCCAAGTTGTAAACTTGGTATTTTTTAAGTGTATCTTATTATTGTTCTTTGACCTTAGAATTTATTTTTTTCTACAGCTGGAGGAAAGGTATATAAAAAAAAGTTACTGGATGGCATAAAGACACTTAAAAGTAAGTCTAAATATAATAGAAAGGCAAATAATTCTGAGATGTTTCCCTACTTATCTATACTTAATTTTCATTAAATTTAAGACCTTATATAATTTTCTAATATTTATGGATTTATTGAATACATATATCACAGGTTCTTGGGAAATTACCCAGCCCTGTTTAGAACTTGCACTATGTTTATAAGAGCAAAAGATACAGAGAATGAGATTCTACATCTAGTTTTGATGTTGAGCCCCCTTGTTCCTCTGAGTAGGTCTTACTGGTCCTTATGTCTTCATAATTAAAATTAAGACATAATATTAAGTAATAAGGCTTTTTTTCATATCTTGGTACCTTGGTTTTTATACTTTATCTCTCTTAAGGAGGAAAAGTTGATTTGAATAACCTGGACACATTTCTGGAAAATATGGGGATTAACCTCTCACATAAAGAACTTGAAGATTTTTCCCAAAACCTTCCAGTTGATGGTGAGCATTGTAGATAAAAATGTATTATTTTTAGGACAACTTGAGTTTGAGAGCAACCATAGACCAATGACAATGTTTACTTTATATCAGTAGGACATTTTGAAAAGCTTGCAGTATAATTCAAGTCTCAAATTAAAATACATCTGGGACCAGCAGATGGCATAATGGTTGCATTGCTGAACCCCCATGTAGTCAATCACAGTTTGAGTCCCAGACCTGGCAGCTTTAACCTCACACAGGGCACATGTGTGCATGCCCAAGATCTCGAGAGGAGAGTGAAGGAAAAGGGATTGTGGCATGGCCATCCCCAAGGGGGAATTTCTCGCTTTCTGTCTTTCTGTCTGTCTCTGTCTCTCCAGTGAGCACATGCGCCTTATAGCAAAAGTTTCTCTTAAAAAAAAAAAAATTAAAACACATGTCTGTTTACCCAAGTTCGGCAAATGATTTCCATGATGGATAATGAAAATAGGCAAAAGTGCTAGCAGACCATATCAGGTCAAAAAAATGAAGAGAAGAAAAATAGAATTAGAAAGATTTAAAAGAAACATTAAACAGTGTGCAAAATAAAGAATACTGCCTATGATGAGGAATAATTAAATTTGTGACCATTTCCATTATGTATAGCTCAGCTATTCCAAAATAGAAAGATTAAGAGACACTTAATATATACCGAGTGTCCGTACTCTGTGACTGAAACTGATTGACTAACGGAAATAGAAACACAGTAAATGGATGTAAATACCAGATATAGTGTGTGTGAAAGAGTAGAGTCTGTGGAAGGACATTTAGAAGAAAAATAGAGAGGCAAAGCATTAATGGGACAAAGAAATGTGATATTATCTGTTGAAGATACTTTTATAGATTTACCAACTAGACTAGGGAGAAATGTTCACATGTTGAAATATTCCGTTTGTAAGCTAAATAATGTGATTGAATGTAAAAGAGAAAACGAAATTTAAAAATGTGAAAAAAAAAAACCCTCTGTTGTTGGAAAGAGATGTCTCTCTCTCTCTCTCTCCCTCTCCCCCTCTCCCTCCCCCATCTCTGTCTCTTGTTCTCTCATGGAAGAAATAAATAAATCTTTTTTTTAGATTAAAAAAAAGAGACAATAAGGAAAACATATTAGGAATTTTAAGAGATGTAACTATGAATAGTAAGCATAATAATACTATAAAAATAAGATATAGGAACACCCCATGGTATGGTGATTAAGATAGCCAGACCTTCCATAGCCAACTATGTGATTTGAGTCCTGGACTCAGCAGCTTGAGAAACACACCAGACACATGTTGCATATGTGCCCACAGTTCAAAAAGAGAGACAAATGGAAGAGAAGGGTTTGAGACTTGACTATTCCCCATGGAGGAGGGGATGCTTTCTCACTTTCTCTCTCTGTCTATCTCTCTCTCCTTCTCTCCAACAAGTTTACATGCCCAAGATCATGTGCCCTGTAGTAAAAAAAAAAGAAAAAAAAAAAAACAACTAAAGATTAAAACTTTTAAAAATAACATGTGTATAACATGAGATTCAAATTTTAAATATATTAAATAAAAAATTTTCCAGGGGGAAAAAGTAAACTTCCATTATTGATTTAAAAAGATGTGAAAAATATGGATAGGCCAATAACAATAGTTGAAAAAAAAACTATCAAATAATTATATAAAAATACCTCAAAATATTCTTAAAAAATAAAATTAAAGTATGAGTTTATTTTGGTGCAAAAATTATTAAAATTCTTGCGTAAGTTTTTTTATATTACTATTTTCCATGAACTTTATGAAGACCCCCCTCCCGTATTTATCAAGTCTCCACCACCACCTATCACTCACAAAAACTGACATATCCAGATTATTTTTAAAGTATGTTCTTTTGAGCTGTCTCTGTGGCCTGGTGGTTAAGAGAGCTTGATCCCACATGGCTGACCATACAGTTTGAATCCTCAACCTAGCAGCTTAGAAAGCAATGCCAGGCATGTGTGCATGCCCCAGATCTCCAAAGGATGGAGAAATTGAGGAAAGAGGGGATTATTGCAGTGTGACCGCACTGCTCTGAGAGTACTTTTTCTCTGTGTCTCTGTCTCTCTCTGGCAAGAGCACGCAGCCTCTGGCAAAACAAACAAACAAATAAAAACCACGAGTATGTTCTTTCAAATCTTCAAGAAACTTTTAATTTTAATGCTGTCTAATTGGTCCAGGAGACTCCAGCTTAAGATACTTTAAAAAAAAAAAAGAAAAAGAAAAAGAAAACCTGTCTAGTCTTCCTTTTCTCTAATACTTAAAGTAAACAACAAAATCAGAAAAGTAAAAAAATCAGCAAAGAAAATTTAACACTAATCAAACAATAAATGTGTATCAACTAATGCCATAAATGTTAAATGGGTACAGACAAGAAAATAAGTAATAGTACAACTAGGCTTCTTTAAACCCTTCTTATCCCTCAGAAATTAAAATCCAGGGGCCAGCAGGTGGTGTAGTGGTTAAGGCACTGGACTCCAGCATGGGAGTTGACTGAGTTGAAGTCTTGAACCCAGCAGCTTGAAACATGCTGGCGGTGCATATGTGAAACAAACCCAGTCTAGTAGAAGATATAGCCCAAGGGGGCCAGCAGGTGGCACAGAGGTTAAGGCTGCTCAATCCCACATGGCCAACTACACAGTTCAAGTCCTGGACTAGCAGCTTGAGAATCACGCCAGGTACACATGCATGCATGCCCAGAGTTCTTAGAGGAGAATGGAAAAGAAGAGACTGTGACATGGCCATTCCCCTGGGGAGTGATTTCTCACTTTCTATCTCTTTCTGGTGAGCACATGCACCCTATGGCAAAGACCTTTTAAAAAAAGGAAAAAGGAGGAACCAGCAGATGGTGTAATGGTTACATGGCTGGACTTTCACGTAGTCAAACCAGGCAGTGTGTGCTAATGCTGGGTGCATGTGTGTGTGTGTGTGTGTGTGTGTGTGTGTGTGCTCAATCTCCTGAGAGGAGAGT